TAAATCATTGGGGCATTGGCAAAGACACAATGCTTTGAAATTTTACATTTAAAACATTGGCTTCAGTGTGTTAAGAAGTAGGAATTTACATGAAATTATATCTTTTATATATTTAATATAACTATAAAAATATGTTCTTTTCCAAGGGAAGACTTCAAACCAACTGGGAGATACAATATTCCCCTCTAATTCTGTCGTCTGTTTTACCCCACCACTATAAAAGTCTAAGGATTGGTACAATGATGATCCTTCCAGTTGAGAAAGGTCAAATGTAGCAATCTGGAGGGTTTCCTCACTGGCTCATAAATACAGAGAGGTCAGTGCAGAACAACGTATGACCCTGTCCCCAGAACCTGGGGCTTCAGACTTCCTATCTTTATTGGGTAGGTCATACAAAGACTACATCGGGATTTTAGGAAAAAGTAGGGAGAGGCCATCCATGGGGAAATCAAAGTTAAGATAGTATCACTTCTTAAATCTATTAGTATTAAGATTTTATCCTCCAGAACATTTTCTAAGAACAGTTATGATTGTGTCTCAGAATTACATTTTTGGGATACTGGATGCCTCAGGACAGGGCTTACAAAATTAAACAACTTACTAGCCAGAGTCTTGAAAAAATTTACTTGTTTACTCACCCGCCCTGGGTAGGAATAATTCCTTCTCAGCTGGAGAAACAATGCCATCAACTACTGTAGAAGTTAAGCTTTAATTGTAAAGAAAACTAAATGTCTAACTCTTATGGTTGTAAAGATAAACTTCACATTTGGTTCATCTTGTGAAGAAATGGAGTGCATTCTGCTATGCAGAAAGACAGTTCATCATACCACTGCTGCTGCTTATATTTTTCCCAAGCCAGAGCTGAGTGAAAACTGAACAGAATACTGTCAGTTTTCACAGGTGCTATTCAAAATCCTGTGGACAATTCCTGTGAAATTGTAAAGAACTATCCCAGTTCCTTGTCACTGCTTGGGAAAGCTATGAGCAGCAGCATCAGGAGCAAACACTGGAGCTGTTCACTGGAGAGGAGGACCCAAAATTTTGAGTTTTGGAAGGGGGTGTATGAAGAAATAGAGTAGTGGACACACCCCACTTTCATAGAGGCCAAGAGCCTGGCCAAAGGAAAAAGGAGTAGAGACCCTTTTCCTTTGTAACACCAAAGCAGTAAGAGGAGGTGGGTCACTTCCACTATCTATACTATCAAACTTCATTCACTTAATACACCACTAGTAAAAGTTCTACCACTGGCAGCAATGGTGCATTCTACAGAGTAGATGAAACTTCAGCACCTTCACCATGTGTGGTCTAATCCTAGTTTAAAAGGATGCATTATGACAGAAAAGTTTGCTTGTGTAGACAAGACCCCAGTGTCTATTTTTTTTGGTCATCCACACACAAAAAATAATTCCACAGACTGCATCTGCTGAAGTACAGAGCTTTGCCAAGCATCAGCACTATGAAATTAACATGATTCTTGTCAGTTTTACAGTGCTCACAAGATACTGAACAGTAGTGAGTCAATGTTAGAGCTAGGACTAGATTCAGGTCTCCTGACTTCCACTCTGGTGCCCTATCCATCGGACCGCATCTGGCAGAGTGGATTTTTCAAGCTTTTGCACAGATGGTTAGCAATGAGATACAGAGCCTATAGCTTCAAGAATACAAGTTCAAATACAGCCCAGGCCTGGTGAAATGCTTCTGGAGATCTTAGTCCAGATGCTAGTATATAGGTGATGACATTACAATAACCACAATTGGTGTCATTCCCGATAGTCTCAGCAGAGAGGCCAAGAACAGAATGGGCATGAAAAACAGAACTAGCCTTGCACTCTCCAAAGATGGTGCGTGTAGACTGCTGCCTATGCTGTGGATAAATAGAAGACAGCATCCAGGGATGTCAGTCGTACACTTAAAAACCCCCCAGAGTAAATTCACATTCAACATTAAAAACAAAAAGAAAACATTTGTACATGTTTTATGCCATCAGTGAAAAGACTTGACAGTAAAAAGCAGTTCTGGATTGGACAACAGGAGCTGATCTACCATAGGCTGAAGTGTTCCTTCTGATTTCATACTCCATATAAATTAGATCCCCAACTGAACAGCTAGGTTGAACATGAAGTTAATAAAGGACAATTTCAAGTTAGGGAACAGCACTTGTGCTTCAGGAATTGAGGCAAGGGAGAGTAAGTGCACTAATCCTTCTCTAACAGCTAGTTCCTAACCCATGTCAGGAGAAGTTTAAAGTTAATTTTATAGTTTTGGGCTTTGAGGTAACCCAGATGCTATTATAATTCATCATGGAAATCTAATAGTTAAGAAATGCAGGGTTCTAATGTATGCACAGGTAATGATCAAGACTAATAAACCTGACAGATTATTAAATTAAGCTTCATAGAACACTACTGGTACTTAAAAAAACCATTTAACTGAATCTTCATTTAGGGCATGTTTACACTACAAAATTATGTCAACCTATGATAGGTTGACTTACAGCCACCACAGTAATTATTGTTGTTTTTCATGTCCACACTACCCTCTTTCTGTTGGTGGGGTGCATCCTCACCAGGAGTGCTTCTACCAAGCTAAGGGGGCAGTATTGGGGGCTAAGAGTCCAGGCTCTGAGCTCCGCACAGAGCTCCCTGCTGGGAGTTTGGATGCCGCCAGGGCTGCTGTCTGATTCCCCACTGCTGCCCAACTTCACTGCTCCAATGCAGAGTCATGAAATCAACAAGAATGACAGCCAAACAGCCAATGTAAGTAGTTCAGTCTCTACACAGACACTGTCTCTTCCTAACTACACCAACATAAGCCTTACGCCTCTCGTGGAGGTGGAGTTATTATGTCGGTGTAGTAGGGCACTTACATCAGCTGGGGCAAGCCGGTAGTGTAGACACGGACATAATTAGGTTGACGTAAGGCAGCTTTTGTTGATCTAAGTCTGTAGTGTAGACCAGGACTTAGCCTCTTAACTGTTAGCATTCCACTAAACCAGTTTGTAGTAGAAAGAGAGCCTGAAACATGAGGCCTGAAGAGATCTGGACAAAAGTAGGAATCAAGTCTTGCTGATATAAAGCAAAGTTAGCAAAAGTCAGGTTGTGAGCAGAAGTCAGGCCCTGTTACAAAACATGCCTGCTTGCAAGTTCACAGAATGGGGCAAGAACAGGGCTAGCATTGCAAAAAAAAACACACATTCCTAAGAAGTACTAGGCACAGGACACTCATGCAAACACATTCCAGAAGGGTGGTACCAGAACACCCTGATACAGGGTTATGGTGTAAACACACTCCCCGAAGATGATACAAGGACACACTGACCCCCTTTTAAAGATAAGGTTAGGATACAGCGTGATGAATAAAGATGTTTTGATCAAACCATCATGTACAGCTTGGGTACCACTGATTTATTCTGACATCTATCATAACACAGGCCATAGAACCTCGCCTAGAAGGGATTAAATAGGGATGACTAAAGCTTTGTCTACACAGTTTTGCACTGATTTAACTAAATTGGTAGAAGAAGCAATTAAGTTAAATCAGCGCAACCCTTGGGTGGATACAGTTATTCCAGTACAAAGATGGCATACCAATATAATTATAAACAATCTATGTTATTTTTTCCTCTGATTTTAGTTAAAGTGGTGCAAACGTTTTGTATAAACCAGTGATTCTCAATCTTCTTGGGCTCAGAACCCATTTGTAAATGGGGCGGGAGTGGTTTGAGCATTGGCCTGCTAAACCCAAGGTTGTGAGTTCAACCTTGAGGGGGCCACTTAGGGATCTGGGGAAAAATCAGTACTTGGTCCTGCTAGAAAAGGCAGGGACTGGACTCGATGACCTTTCGGGGTCCCTTCCAGTTCAATGAGATAGGTATATCTCCATATATATGTAAACCTTGATGGCCTGTCACAAGCCAGTAAATAGCTTTAGTACAAAAAATTTGCTTACTATATATTTCTTACCCACGATATATAATTTATATATTAATATAATAGGTATGTACACATGCATAATATAGTGACTGCACTGGTTCCACGGGGTTGGATAGGCTCGGCTCGGCTCCCCACTCCAGGTGTTGCCATCTCCAAGGTTGCAATGCCACTCAGGTTTGGGCTGGTCCAGCCAAATTTGTGAGAGTGGTGCTGTGGCCTGGCCCATGGGGGTTACCCATACAAGTTTGGGTATCTCTCATCTTGAAAAGGGGCACTTGGGCCAAACATGAGTAGGGCTGTGACCCCGTGTACCACGTCACAAGTCTCAGATCAGGAAGTCAAGCCCAGCCAGCCCTGCAGAACCAGTGCCACAAAAGCCACTGCTGCGGGGTCGAATGTGGGGAAGGCTGTGCAACTCCTCCCCCACTCCAGGACCCAGCCTTCTTTCCCTCCCCCCAGGGCCTCCCCTGTGCCCCTTTGACATATTCTGGCAACCCAATTTTGGGTGGCGACCCACAAGTTGAAAAACCCTGGTGTAGATAAGCCCTAAATCTTAAAATTGTTCCCCAGATGATTTGACATCTTTTAGCCTTCTAGTAACATATTCATTTGAAAACAATGAGTGAGAAAAACAAACACCTGAAGCATTGAAGGTGAACCTCTGAGTTCATCACATTTGCCTAACAAAGTACATTTAAAAAACATTTGATATCATGGCAAAGTAAAACAAAGAAATGTTAATTCAAAAATCAGTAATGAAATGTCTCTAGCACAGCACTATAGAAGGAAACAGACCAAAGACTGAGGATTATATTTTACTTTATAGTCAAACTATTAGAGTAGTGGCCCAAGCTAGACAAATTCTCTTGAATTTTTCAGGAAATAATTCAGTATACAAAAGGAACTGACAAAGGAAACCATGATTTAGTTAATGGCTAACTCTTTCTTACTAAGATTGATGTTACTATAAGAAAATCATCAGTTGAAATCTGCCAGTGAACAAAAAACAACTTACTATCACAGTAACATAAGGCAGCTCATTTACAGAATTTCAAACAAGTTACTTACTGCTTTGACTCATGGTGACAAACCTCCAGTGTTGGATCATTATAAATAAAAGCTGCTTCCAGATCATTGACTCTTACTCTGTATATCCTGCATTGTTTACTGTTCAGTTTGATTCTATTCAGGTTTGCAACCGTGGGAAATATAGTCAGTTCCACATAACCCTATAAATATGTAAACCAATATCATTTAATTATACAGTCATATTCAAAAACACAATATAAAAATATTCTTTTCTATTCATTCATTCTATTCATATTTTTAAAAGGGACACCATAGTCAAACAATAGATCCAAATGCCAATTTTTTGTTTAAAAAGAAAGAACAAAGTTTCATAAAAGTTAAAAATGGATTCTCTCTCATAACTTTTGAAAGGTGAATATTCTCAGCTGTAAAACTAAGGAAGTTGGCAGTACGATTCAGGAGTAGGTGTATTACTGGAGATCATTTAACTTATTTTTAATGGACTAGAATTCAACTTGATGGTGTCCCTTTTAATTCAAACTGAAATGATTGTACCTATCTCATAATAAAACTGGATTCCATAACCTAAAGCCTTGATAATCCTGCAAGGTGATCCACACAGGCAAATCTGTGAACTCATTCAGAGCTCCATTAACTTCATCAGTGTTCCTCATGGCTGTCAGGGTCTGGCCATTAGTCCATATGGATTCAGGATCAGGGCCTAAATCTCTACTACTCTAATCCTTAAATAAACAGTGGCATTAGCTGAAATTGTGATTGCTTATTTTTAGAGGTATAAAAGCCAATTTTAACCAGGGTGGATAGAAATGATTTGCGGGGGTGGGCGGGGTGTCAGATTTTTATTTACGTAAATCGAATTTTTTTTTATTTTGTTATTTAAACTATAATTTTAAATAAGCCTGTGTAAAATGAAATATGAATTTACCACAAAATATGTTAAGGCATAACCTTATTATAATCTCTTAAAACATTTTAAGGTAACATTTTTATTTGGCATGTATAGTCCAAATGAAATTAAAAAGACTTGAATCTAATTCCAAATAAATTCAGGCACAAATTACGGTCCATCTTGTATCTGTATATCTGAAATTCATATTAAACCACAGTTCTGTTTGGCCTCGTTCTCTTCGGCTAAAGAGTCCTGTAACATGCTCCTGGTCAGAACATAGATAGCGCAAAGAAGTTACAGAGCATATGAAGCTTTTGTGCAGTTATATTTCCTCAAAAATACAGGAAAAAATCTTGGTTTTGGACATGACCTTTAATATTTTTGTAAATAATATACTTACTACAACAGACTTTCTCTGAAAATTTATGTTGTTGATGCAGACTACCTGTTGGGTTGTGCTGGAAAAAACAAAAGCATTTAAAATAAGGATACAGACAAATAACATGTCAATGTCATTTCTCATGTTTCTTTAACCTAATAAAAAGAAAATCTTAGTTGAACAATCTTTATATCATATGTGTGTCTATATACACAGATATTGTATACATATTATACTCAGTGTGTAAATATATATACATAAACATAAGGAGAGAATTCATGACTGTGTGATGTGGTATGAAGGTCTTATCTGCATGAATGGCCACATACAAGCAATGAAATGGGAATTGTGCAGGGCATCCCAAAGGTGTCACTAAAACCATCAAAGTATCACATCATCATATAGGCTGTACACACATATGCTACAAGGAAAAATAGAGTTTGAACTGTTTTGAACAGCTTTAAAATATTACACTGGAATTATTTTTGAATCTTTTTGTCTGTTACCCCAAATACAATAGCGCAGGGCTCAGAGGAAGTTATGAAAGCGCTAACAATTACCTAAATAGCTTTTCAATACGTGAAATGTCAATTATTAGAGTACAATATCACCAACTATATAAAAACTGACTGAGTTCTGTCCCTGCCAGGCTGCAAGAGAATAGGACTGGCTATTGCCTGCTATGGACCTCAAAGAGGTGTAATTGCTGGGGAAGAAGGGGGTTGAATGGATAGAGGGCATAAGGAGTAAACATTTCTCTGGCAAGTTGACTCTCTCATCATATATACACATCCTATACATGAAAGAGGAAGACAGCCAGCTGTCTTTTGGGAAACAGCACTTGCTTCAAGCATTGGAAGGTCCTGAGAAATAAACATTTAAAGCAATGGTATACCTCCACAAACTTTGTGCAGGCAGATCTTTGCACATCTGCAAAGATCATGCGGGAATGAGGCCTGAAATAGTTTTTACCACTTTTTCCTTTGGTTCGTACTACAGAGCACATACAGCTATAGAACAATTAACAGAATTCTATTCTGGTTCATGCATCATAAGTAGCATTGTTAAGTAAGTTCCAGCTGAAAAAGCTTTATACATGAGTTGGAAAGCACACAGCTTTCCTTCCAGATATCATGCTGAGTCTGAAGAGTAGGTAGATAGAAAAAAATATTTTACATGAAAATTGTGAACATTTGATATGGAATCACTGGAACATGGAAACCCACAATTCATCTTTAAAGAGTAAGATTTCAGAGTATAACTGAATGTTCAGCAATAATCTTAAAGCATCCCTAAATTACCCCTGTACAGTTTCATCTGACTTTACTTAAAAACCAACCTTAACGGTCAACTTTTGGTCAGCTTACTGCCTACACGGTAAAGCTTTCAGATTACACAATAAAGGGAACGAACACTAATCTCAAGCACATAAAAGAAATATAAAAATTAATACTTATAATTTATAAGGTCTTGGGCTCTCAAATCCCTTGTCTCCTTTCTTCCTATTCATCCTGCACAGCAGCACTGAATTGTTGAGAGTCAAATATGCATCAACATCGTCCTCATTAGCGGTCTTTGGATGGGTGGTTTGAGTTTTCCCCTTGTCAAGTTCCCTTTCATTACTGTTCTCTCATCAGTGGATCTAAGACACCCAAGATTCAGCCAGAGAAGCTGCACAGTTATAAAGTCAACAATATACAGTCTTCTGTATATATGTATGTGTGTGTGACACACAATTCCCTTCCACAGAAGGTACAAGGAGGGGACAAATCTCCTGCCTCCTTCACACAATCTGAGCTGCAAAATGCGGAGGGGAAATAGGTGTTGCGGGCCTGCTGCTCAACAGGTGATGGACTCTGCTGGGGGAGGTCTGGGAACTACTGATGGTGATGACTGGGGTGAGGGGTTCATGCTCCTGCTGGGTCAGCAGGGACTGCTGCTAATAGGTAGGTGGGAGGGGGCTGCTAAGGCGTTTGCTATTTTTAGGCGGGAGCGAGGCTGCCGCTCTTGGGGGTAGGGGAGTCGGCGGGCGTTGCTTGGCGGCGTCGGCTGCTGCCAGGAGGGGATAGGGCAGGTCGGGGGCTGCTCTGCGGCTCCTGCCGGGTGGGGTGCCGTGGGGGCACGGCTCGGCTGCAGCCCTGGGCGAGCAGGAGCTGCTCCTGACTTGGTAGCGCTGGGGTTATGGCTCCTACGCGCGTGGAAGCTGCTCCGGTTCCTGGCTGCCGCCGCTCCCGGAGCACGGGCTGGGCTGGCGGCCGCTGCCCTCCGGCAGCGTGTCTCGGGGGCAGTAGGGGCGGCTGGGCGCTAACCCGCGCACACAGCAGCTCGGGACCCTCAATGTTACTCCGTCCCAGGGCTCAGCAGGGCGGGCGAGGCGCTGCCTGGGCCCGTCCGGCGTCCACCGGCTCCACACCGCCAGTAAGCCCGGCAGCAGCTATGGCCGCCATTTTGTTGGTAACCTTTGACCTTCCGGCAGTTGAAAGGTCAAGTCCGGCTTTAAGGCTTTTAAAAATCCCTCTTTTTCATTGCCCCCTGTGCCGCGCGGCTTGAAGGAATCTGAGCGAGACAGAGAAAAGGAGGGTGGTTGGGAATCAAAATTATAGAGGTGAGCTTTTCGGCCGGCATGCGCATGCGCATCTCGCCCGTGGCAACGCAAAGCGGCTCGGCTGTGAGCAGATTCGGGGAGGCGCGTGCGCAGTGTTTGTGCCCCGCGCTCCTGGTGGTGGCTTGGTAAGAGATGGAGGCAGGGAAACAGGGATGTGCTGTATAGGGACAGGCTGTGGGACCCCTCTCCCCCTTCCCCGAGCCCCCACTCTGCCTCCTGCCCCTTTCCTCCCACGCGCGTCTCACACCATTTCCTGCCCAGTTCCTGATCCACCGAGCACTGGGCAGCTTGGCTGTGCCCCACTGGAGAGGGTGGAAATCTGTGTTAGGCGATGCCTCAGTTCCACCGTCCAAGTAAGGTGGGTGACTTATTCAGCAAAAACGTTTTCAGTGGGGAAGAACTATTTTGTGACTCTTTTTACTAAAGGTGGGTTTGTTTTGTGTTTTTTTTTTTTTCGGGGGGGGGGTTTGTGGTTGGGGTTTTGTTTTTTTTGCAAAAAGTGTTGGCTTTGCGTTGCGGGGAAGACTTAAAAATGAACGCCTGAAAAACGAAATATTTGGACTTACTGCGGCACTGCCTCGTGGGAGTTGTAGTTCTGACCTTTCACGTCCTGTTTTCTCTGGGCTGGTTGGCTGACCTGCATCTTCCATGGTGTGCAGCCCTCCTTCTCCAAGAGAGGAGGCTGCTGTTGTATCATGAAAGATGTAGTCTGACCAGGCGCCTGGCCTATAGCAAATGGGAGAATGAGGCACCAAACTGAAACGTTTTAGATTTTAGCTGAAATATTTAAATAAACAAATTAATGGAGATATCCTATCTCCTAGAACTGGAAGGGACCTTGAAAGATCATCGAGTCCAGCCCCGTGCCTTCACTAGCAGGACCAAGTACTGATTTTGCCCCAGATTCCTAAGTGGCCCCCTCAAGGATTGAACTCACAACCCTGGGTTTAGCAGGCCAATGCTCAAACCACTGAGCTGTCCCTCCCCAATTGTTCTTGTATTTCTGCTAAATTATCAATATTCCATTGAAGATTTAGATGGAAACAATTTTGTTTGTTGCAGTTTTCCACTGGGGAAGGGGGTAGGCTCCATTTGTTTTGACCAGCTGTATGGTAAGATGTGATAAAATTGCAGTAGTGGCCAACTCTCCACAGGGAGCTTGATGGGAACTAAGCCTGTAGTGAAACTTGGCTCCTAATACATTTTTGGACAAACACTAACCTTAATTCCCACAGCTGGCTTCGGCTGTATAGTTTGTGTAAAATCTCATGATCAATAGTTAGTAAAAGGTATTGTTAATTCCTTGTGGTATCTGTAGCTTTTTCCTCTTCATCATGGACATTTAAGTCAAGGCTGTAAAACAATTTCATTCCCTTCTGATCCTGTCTAATGACAATGGCTGCTTCTCCCATCCTCTTAATGTCAGACTCTCCCAATGCTGTGTTTTATATGCATAACTTAGTGACGGACCCTCCTCCTCTCCTCACTCCCATCTCCACTCAGAAAGGCACTCAGAGCCTGACATTCAACTAGTGTGAGGAACCTATTATTTCTAGGACAACTAACTTGTGTATTTATTCACTTTCAGTCTGTAACTTTGAAACTATCATTTTGATATGCTCAAAAACGTCTAAACTAACTCATCTTCCATAGGGAGTTTAGCCTGCACAAAGAATGGAGTGTCTGGTTTGTGCATTTTTCTGTGCTGATCGCATTATATGGAACTATCCCACTACAATGAATGGGACAAGTTTTACTTAAGAGAATTAAATTCATGAAACTGCCTGTCATGATAGCATGTACATCAAATAGTCAGAGTTGTCAAATTAGGGTGCCTAGTTTGGCAACTAAATCCATATCTGAGCATGATATGACTGCCAAACCTTGTTTGTAAGAAACAAATTCCTACCACTGTATTTAATGCCATTTTAATCTCAGGTTATAGGTATATCCATGTGCAGTCATGTCACAAAGATTGCTTGTTAGCCTCTGGCTGTGTTACATGGATAAACTATAGCATATATTGTATTATGGTATCTTAGCAACAGTTCATGGAAGTATTATATTGTGCAATATTCAGTTACAACTCCTTTATTTACAAGTGCTAATCTTTTAAAATGTTCACAATTCCTTACAATTCATAAAATGTACAAATCTCATTTGGGTAGCTGTCTTTCTTTATTCTTGCTCCACCTTAAAATACATGGAAGCAATTAATTTTAGAAACATAGTTGACTATTTTTTACAGCCAACCTACTAATAGAATTCTACCGTATAACATTTGAGTAATTTTTAAACTAAGCCTATACTATAGCAAAAAAGAGTGGATCAAGTGATCACAGCAGAATGAGATACAAATGCAATAGACAAGGAAGGGAATGGCTTTTGCGTATGTATTTTTGCTATCATATGCTGCCCTCATAACTGAGTGGGTGTGGGGAACTTAGTCTAAAAAGTACTTAAGAGGATAACTCAAGGAGGGAGGCTATATAATAGCAATCACTGGAAGTGTTCAAGGAAAGATAAGACAAACTGATGAGTAGTCAATGGAAAGCTGATTTTCCTGCAGTCATAGCAATAGTTAACTTTTGAGAATGGTGGATTAATCACCAAAATCTAGTTTACATATTTGATTCAAATAAAACCTCACACGTGAATAATGACTGTTGAATATGAGGGCTGAGACAGACTAGGTAAGTTGCTATAGGAAGCTGTACAAACATCTACATGTATAATATACAGCTCACTCTTATCTCTAAATTTGAAAAAAAGAAAGATGTATTGTGGATTTCATTCAAGCCCCTGCTGCATGGCCCCAGTCTTAATCTACTCATGTAATAGTACATATAGTCCTTGAGGTGCAGTAGAGAGCAGTGTAGTGTGTGGTCTATTTGTGAACTTGTGAAATTCTCTCCATGATATTAAGTATTATGCTACTGGACAAAGCTGTTGTGCTAAATTACAAAAGGAGTTCATTAAAAGCATGTCCCCCTTATTTTTTTCCTAGAAGTGACACTAAAAGTTTCTTCACACTTTAGTTATGTTCCCAGTAAGCTCTTGGTCTGTTTCCATGAGTTTAGGATGAAAGCTGTTGCATCTAAGGCAGGGGAGGCCAACCTGAGCCTGAGAAGGAGCCAGAATTTACCAATGTAAATTGCCAAAGAGCCACAGTAATGTCAGCAGCCCCACTGATCAGTGCCTCCCCCATCCCTCCCGATCAGCTGTTTTGTGGCGTGCAGGAGACTCTGGGAGGGAGGAGTGAGGGCACAGCAGGCTCGGGGGTGGGAAGGGGCAGAGCCAGGGGTTGAGCAGTGAGCACCCCCCAGCACATTGGAAAATTGGTACCTGTAGCTCCAGCCCCGGAGTCGGTGTCTATACAAGGAGCTGCATATTAACTTCTGAAGAGCCGCACATGGCTCCGGAGCCACACACTGGCCAGCCCTGATCTAAGGTGTTACTGAAATCTTTATTCTACCATCTCTTCAACTTCCTCTTTCCAAATCCAGGATTGTTTTGACACCAAAAGACAGCTTGTTTCCTGTTTGGCAGTCTGCTAAAACTGATGAGCAAGTACATTATAGTCTTATTAAAAAGTCAGCTGACAATGAATATTATACATTCATTAAAGAGTGTTTAGACAAATCTGATTGATCAGTTCTCTTAGTAACTTCCTACTGCTTTCCAGTAGATCACATTACCAAGTAAATAGCACTGTAAATTTACATGGTGCTTTACAGAGTAAGGCATTATTTAGAATCCACAGGATGAGTAATCTTGTATTAAGCAATTAAAAGTGTTGACCCTTAACATGCTGAGTAATCCGGTTTTATATTTTTGTGTTGAAGGTCTCATGTGGGAGAATGGAGCTGCTGAGAGGAAGGAGCAAAAGTTGGGACTCCTGGGCCACACACTGCTCAGCCCCTGATGGGAAGAAAAAACAAAAAAAGCCCACACTCCTGCTTCACTAGCCTAACAATTAGGGTATATAGTTCCTGAAACAGAGCCCCCAAATTCTGCCCTGAAGACCCAGTTTGTGGAGAATGTGAGATTTATTGTTCACTAAGGTCTTTTGGCATCCATATTATGTTGGGGATATTCTAGCAAAATGGAAAGACTGTCCTTCAATTTAAAAAAAAAAAAACAAGCTATCTGACAACAGCAAGGTGGCGGTGCTGGAGTTTCAGCTCTTACATTAGAATTCGAAGGCTAAGTATACCCTATTTTAAGGGTTAAACCAGGTTATTTTATAGCATGTTTGTTCCTCTTTTGCCCTCCTTCCCCACTCATTGGCACATTAACCATCAGGTGGTCTTCCACATGTATATGTAATGCCTTATGTGCATTCAAATTTTAAATAGCAAGCTACCTAAAGTATTACAATAATATTTCCATTTAACACTGAGATTTGCAAAGCTGTCAAATAGCAAACTGGGGTGCACAGGGTTACTAATAAATGACAAATGGAAATCCAGTTATAAAAAGCCTTTACAAAATTTAATTTGGCAACATTACAAAGAGTATGTGCTTCACAGCTCTACATTTCAAAAATATTTACATTTGGGTGGAAATGTTGCAGAAACTTTTTTTTAGGGTTCTCATTCTAGATATGCAGTATACTACTACAAACAGTTTAATTTACCACTTTTAAAAATGTAAGCCTTCTGGTATATTAATTTTAGGTTGACAATATTCCAGTGGTGAAGGGCAGGTTACAGAAAAAGTTGCTGAGTCCATAACATGTCTGAGTAATTTGAGGCATCCTCTTAGCATTATGTAACTTAAGGCAATTTTGCCAATACTATTAAATTGTCAAGAACCCAGAACCTTAAGTGCCTCATAATTCTGTTTCATGTTATCCACATTCAAAGACACGAACCAGAAGGACCACCAGTCACCTTCCAAGGTCAGCCACCTACTGACTTGTAGTCCACAGTGGAAATGAGTAATTCACCTATAAGGCCAAACTTCTCATTTTACACACACACACAGCTCAAAACACTAATATTGCTTGTTGGTAACTAATACGCTCTGACAGTTCAGTTGTTATAGCAAACAAACCAAGCATTCCACTTTGCTTTTGAAATACTATATTCAGTACTGTCACTGGAAGTAGACTGCTTTTACAAGATAAATGGGGGCGGGGGGGAGAGGAGGAAGGACTGCTGTGTAGAAGCAATAGTTTTCTCTGTAATTTTCTATTGGACTTCACTAACATATCAGCAGACTTAAGAAAAAAGTGTGTGCAAATATTTGCACAAACGAAGGGCAAGTAAAGTAAGGATAGAGTTTATTTTGCTTCTAGACAAACTACAAATTTCAGTTCAATACAAACAAATTTGTAAGTCTTTCTGGTTAAGTGGTGGAAACTAGATTCCAGCAAAGTGTGTTTTTAGATTTTGGTAGAGCAATTATTTCCACAAAGATCTAAAATAATAAAGAATTCCACTGTCTTTGGTGTACAGTACTACACTTTTTTTTTAAGCTGACAGATCTTTCACAACAGTGACATTTAAAATTAGTTGATATTGCTACATAATTACAAATAATTCTGGTATGAACACCACCAGTTGTTATTCCTTGATGTAGTCTTGATTCTTAAATAAGGTTGTTTCTTGTTATGAGATGGGTCTTCTAGAGTTATAAACTTTGACACCATTCTGCATGGAAGAACGAGCATATTTGGTCAGAAGTGCAGCTACTGTTTGCTTCTCTGCACATAAGTCTCTAGAGAGAAAAAAAATAGTGGTGAAAACATGCTTCAACTTTAACAAAAAAAATGGTTATCAGAACAAACTATTTCAGGATTGAGTACAAACTGTTTCGGTTTTCCTAACATAGCAATCAGCCTGGCTAGAGTGTTTATTAATAAGCTATTGGTGTGCTTCTCCCAAAATGCTTTCAATCATCTAAAATTCATACCTCGGCATAACTGCTGCATTTATGTAACTCCCAAAAGCATACTACATGCTTTACAAAACACAAAGATGGTTCCTACCTTGAATAGCTTACAATCTAAAAAGGCAAAAGCCTAATTCTGTTCTCCATTACACCAGTATAGCTGTTTACACTCCAGAGCCCATGCCATCATAGCTATATCAGCATAGCCCCATAGTATAAACTCAGACTACACTGTGGTTTTCTGTCAATGTAGATACACCACCTTCCTGAATTATGTTAGCTATGTCAACAAAAAACACTCTTCTGTTGACATAGCTGTATCTATACTGGGAATTGGCATGGCTATGTTGGTCAGGGGTGTAGGTTTTTTCCACACCCCTGATGGACATAGCTGTACTGATAAGTTTAGACCAAGCCTGAGTCAATGGAGCTACTTAAATTTTACTCTGAACAGCAGAATTTGGCTCAAAGTTCTGAGGCAAAGACCATGTCAAACCAAGCGTGTCTGCTTGTACATTGCTTAGCCCAACAAGGCCCAAAACTTGACTGGATCATGTGAGTGTTATGTCAATTTTGAACAAGGGAAAGGATGAAACATGAGAAGTACTACTGGAGTATGGTTCTGGAATTAAGTCTGATTTTACTGACTTTTAAAAAAAACTAATTTGGGAGATATGATGTATAAAGGAAAGTTGATGTTTTTTAGCCTTTTCTCTAAAGTCATAAATATTTGCTGATAATCTTCTTTCAATTTCCCCTCATTTTAAATATTTCCTGACTATGCTCTTCTGATCCCTTCATCTTCCTCTAGCCTGGCTGTCCTTTCTCCAGAGTGTGGTTCAACACCCACTGTGAATTCACTCTCTTAATAATCTGCAAGAGAATAATCTGCAAGAGAAAAGTTGAGTAACTTCCAGTTAAGATTTTGATTTCAAGACAGCTCATGTGTATGGGTCACAAAGTGTTACTAAAGGCAGAAAAAGGTCTACTGGAAGACAGTAACTTTTTGCTTTTTATCCTTTGACTTCAGTGGGGGTAGAATTGCCCAAAGTCAATACAAAACTTCCATTTAGTTCAATGGGGCTGTCAAGGCTGGTTCCCCACTTTGAACCTTAGGGTACAAATGTAGGGGCCTGCATAAAAACTTCTAAGCTTATCTACCAGCTTAGCTTTGGTCCGCTGCCACCATCACAAGAATTCCCTCCCTGGGAAGCCTTGAGAAACCTTTCACCAATTCCCTGGTGAACACAGATCCAAACCCCCTTGGATCTTAAAACAAGGAGAAGTTAACCATCCCCCCTCCTTCCTTCCACCCTCCTTTCACCAACTCCTGGTGAATACAGATCCAAACCCCCTTGGATCTTAAAACAAGGAGAAATCAATCTGGTTCTTAAAAAAGAAGGCTTTTAATTAAAGAAAAAGGTAAAAATCATCTCTGTAAAATCAGTATGGAGAATACTTTACAGGGTAATCAAACTTAAAGAGCTCAGAGGACCCCCCTCTGTCTTAGGTTCAAAGTACAGCAAACAAAGATACACACTCTGGTAAAAAGGTACATTTACAAGTTGAGAAAACAAAGTAAATCTAAGACGCCTTGCTGTCTTTTTACTTACTAGTTTGAAATAGGAGAGACTTGTTTAGAAAGATGGGGAGAACCTGGATTGATGTCTGGTCCCTCTCAGTCCCAAGAGCGAACCACCCCTTAAAACAAAGAGCACACACAAAAGCCTTTCCCCCCCCCAAGATTTGAAAGTATCTTGTCTCCTTATTGGTCCTTGGGTCAGGTGTCAGCCAGGTTACCCGAGCTTCTTAACCCTTTACAGGTAAAAGGATTTGGAGTCTCTGTACACAGAGAGCTGTTACCCTTCCCTTCATAGTTATGACACGCCCCCCAAATCACAGATAGTGTTGGACGTTTGGTTCCACACTGGCTGTGATTTCTTCCTGGAGTTCTAGGAGAAAACAGAGTTAATAAGACATACTACTGATTATATAAAAACTAACAATATGTTTCATTCCAAGAACAATTGTTAACCAGTTAACTCTGGGAAACTTTCCCGGGAGAGTGCATCAGCCACTTTGTTAGAAGCTCCCGAAATGTGTTGTATTTCAAAATCAAAATCTTGGAGAGCTAAACTCCATCGAAGAAGTTTTTTGTTATTTCCCTTGGCGGTATGAAGCCACTGTAGCGCAGCATGGTCTGTTTGTAGTTGGAAACGCCGTCCCCAAACATATGGGCGTAGCTTTTCCAGCGCGTACACAATGGCGTAGCATTCCTTTTCGCTGATTGACCAGTGGCTTTCCCTCTCAGACAGTTTCTTGCTGAGAAACACGACAGGATGGAATTCTTGATCCGGTCCTTCCTGCATTAAAACTGCTCCCACGCCTCGCTCGGACGCATCTGTGGTTACTAGGAACGGTTTGTCAAAGTCTGGGGCCCTTAGCACAGGGTCAGACATGAGTGTTGCCTTAAGCTGGTTAAAGGCCTTTTGACACTCATCAGTCCACTGAACTGCATTTGGCTGTTTCTTTCTGGTTAGGTCTGTCAGCGGGGCGGCGATTTGGCTGTAGTGTGGTACAAATCGCCTATAATATCCGGCCAAGCCTAAGAAGGATTGGACCTGTTTCTTTGACTTTGGAACCGGCCACTTTTGGATAGCATCCACTTTGGCCTGTAGGGGATTTATAGTTCCTTGACCCACCTGGTGCCCCAGGTACGTCACTCTGTTTTGGCCTATTTGACACTTTTTAGCCTTAACAGTTAGTCCTGCCTGTCGGATGCGCTCGAAGACTTTTCCCAGGTGCTCCAGGTGTTCTGTCCATGAATCAGAAAAAATGGCCACATCATCGAGGTAGGCAACTGCAGATTCTCCCAATCCCGCTAAGAGACCATCTACAAGTCTTTGGAAGGTGGCGGGTGCATTTCGCAACCCGAAAGGGAGTACATTGAATTCATACACCCCTGCCTGGGTGACGAAGGCGGACCTTTCCTTAGCGGGTTCATCTAGTGGTACTTGCCAGTACCCTTTGGTTAAGTCTAAAGTAGAGATGAATTGGGCATGTCCCAATTTTTCCAATAGCTCATCTGTGCGTGGCATTGGATAGTTGTCAGGACGAGTTACAGCATTTAGCTTACGGTAGTCCACGCAAAAGCGTATTTCCCCATCTGGTTTGGGAACTAGAACCACTGGAGATGCCCATGCACTGTTAGAGGGGCGGATTATACCCATCTGTAGCATGTCCTGGATCTCCCTTTGTATAGCCGCTTGGGCATGAGGTGACTCCCGGTAGGGTGGGGTTCTAATTGGGTGAGCATTACCTGTGTCAATGGAGTGGTATGCCCGTTCGGTCCGTCCTGGAGTGGCTGAGAAAATCGGTGCAAAGCTTGTGCACAGCTCCTTGATCTGCTGTCGCTGCAGACGTCCCAGGGTCGTGGAGAGGTTCACCTCTTCCACGCCACCATTCCTTGTTCCTTCGTAGTAGACACCTGCAGGCCACTCCGCGTCATCTGTTTCCTGGGCTGTAAACTGGCAAACGTTTAATCCTCTGGAATAAAAGGGCTTAAGAGAATTAACATGGTATACCTTAGGCTTTATGTTGGAGGTGGGGGAGGCTATGAGATAGTTAACAGCTCCTAGGCGCTCCTGGACCGTGAATGGTCCTTCCCATGACGCTTCCATTTTATGGGCCTGGAGCGCCTTTAAGACCATGACTTGGTCTCCTACTTTGAAGGACCGTTCTCTGGAATGTTTATCATACCAGGCCTTTTGCTCTTCCTGAGCATCCTTTAGGTTTTCTTTAGCAAGGGCTAAAGAGTGTCGGAGGGTGTTTTGTAGGTTGCTTACAAAGTCTAGAATGTTAGTTCCTGGAGAAGGCGTAAACCCCTCCCATTGCTGCTTCACCAACTGTAATGGCCCCTTAACCTCGCGGCCATACACAAGTTCAAATGGTGAAAACCCTAAACTGGGATGTGGTACAGCCCTGTAGGCAAAAAGCAACTGCTGCAACACTAGGTCCCAATCATTGGAGTGTTCATTTATGAATTTACGTATCATGGCCCCCAAAGTTCCATTAAACCTCTCCACCAGACCATTGGTTTGATGGTGATGAGGGGTGGCAACCAAGTGATTCACCCCATGAGCTTCCCACAGGGTTTTCATGTTCCCTGCCAGGAAATTAGTTCCCGAATCTGTAAGGATGTCGGAGGGCCAACCTACCCTGGCAAAAATGTCTGCTAATGCCTGGCACACACTTTTAGTCTTGGTGTTGCTTAAGGGTACAGCTTCCGGCCATCGGGTAGCAAAATCCATGAAAATCAGTACGTACTGCTTTCCTCTGGGTGTCTTCTTTGGGAAAGGACCCAGAATATCCACAGCTACTCGCTGAAATGGGACCTCAATTATGGGTAGTGGCTGGAGAGGGGCTTTAACCTGGTCTTGGGGCTTTCCCACTCGTTGGCACACCTCACAAGACCGGACATAATTAGCAACGTCCTTGCCCATTCCCTCCCAGTGGAAGGACTTCCCCAACCGGTCTTTGGTTCTGTTCACCCCAGAATGGCCACTGGGATGATCATGGGCTAAGCTCAAGAGCTTTACCCGATACTTAGTGGGAACCACCAACTGTCTTTGAGGATGCCAGTCTTCCTGGTGCCCACCAGAAAGAGTTTCCTTGTATAAAAGTCCTTGTTCTACAACAAACCGGGATCGGTTAGAAGAGCTGAGAGGCGGTGGGGTGCTCCGTGCCGCCGCCCAAGCTTTCTGAAGGCTGTCATCTGCTTCCTGCTCGGCCTGGAACTGTTCCCTTGATGCTGGAGACATCAGTTCCTCCTTGGACTGTGGACTGGGGCTTGGTCCCTCTGGAAGCGATGCAGGTGCTGGGGCTGTTTCCACTGACCGTGAACCGCTGTCCGCTGGTGCACTATGTGGTATCTCAGGCTCTGGCTGAGCCTCTTGGGGAGGGTTATCTGCTGCTTCCGCCAGTTCAGGCTCGCTGGTGCTCTCTGGCATTGGAGTTGTAGACTGGTTTGCAAGCACTGGACTCCGTGCCGGCAATGGTTCTGGTGCTGGTTGCGTTGCCAGTTCCGGTTCCGGGACTGGCTTTGGCTGGGTCTCTGGGATTGGATCCACTACGGCTGTTGCAGTCGTTGGCAGGGGATCCGGTTCCACCACCTGTGTTTGGGTCTCCGGTAACACAGACGGGGCCCTGGTGGACGGCTCAGGAACAGGGATGGGGGTGGAAGCTTGCTTAGCCTGGCTGCGGGTGACTATTCCCACCCTCTTGGCTAGCTTCACATGGTTGGCCAAGTCTTCCCCCAGCAGCATGGGGATGGGATAATTGTCATAGACTGCAAAAGTCCACATTCCTGCCCAGCCCTTGTACTGGACATGCAACTGGGCTGTAGGCAAGGTTACAGACTGTGACACGAAGGGTTGAATTGTCACTGTAGCCTCCGGGTTGATGAGTTTGGGGTCCACTAGGGATTGGTGGATAGTTGACACTTGTGCCCCAGTGTCCCTCCAAGCGATAACCTTCTTTCCGCCCACTCTCAAGGTTTCCCTTCGCTCCGAGGGTATGAGAGAGGCATCTGGGTCTGGGGATCTTTGGTGTGACTGGGGTGTAATGAACTGTAATCGGTTGGGGTTCTTGGGGCAGTGAGCCTTTATATGCCCCAGTTCATTACATTTAAAACATCGCCCTGCTAAGGTATCACCGGGGCGATGTTGGTTGGTGGAGACTGGTGGGGTGGGGTGAGAAGGCGTCTGGGGTTTCCCTTGGGATGTGGGTGGGGCCTTGGGTTGTCCCCGGTGGTAAGGTTTTGTTTCGGCTTGCCCCTTCTGATATTCGCTCCAACTGCTACTAGCTTTTTTCTTTTCTGTCACCTCCACCCATTTGGCTCCAATCTCCCCCGCCTCGGTTACAGTTTTGGGCTTCCCATCTAGGATGTACCTTTCTATTTCCTCAGGAACACCCTCTAAAAACTGCTCCATTTGCAATAGGAAGGGCAACTCTTCCGTAGATTTAACATTTGCTCCTGATATCCAGGCATCCCAATTTTTTTGAATGTGGTAGGCATGCCGGGTAAATGACACATCTGGTTTCCACCTTAGGGCTCTGAACCGCCGACGGGCATGCTCAGGTGTTAGCCCCATTCTGATTCTGGCCTTGTTTTTAAAAAGTTCATAACTGTTCATGTGTTCCTTAGGCATTTCAGCCGCCACCTCTGCTAAGGGTCCACTGAGCTGCGGCCTCAGCTCTACCATGTACTGGGGTGGAGGGATGTTGTATCCAAGGCAGGCCCTTTCAAAATTTTCTAAGAAGGCCTCAGTATCATCGCCTGCCTTGTAGGTAGGGAATTTCCTGGGATGGGAAGTGGTACCTGGAGAGGAGTTGTTAGGATGGTCTGATGCACCCTGCCTAGTCCTTGCTGCTTCCAGTTCCATCTCTTTTTCTTTCAGCTCCATCTCTCTCTTGTGGGCCGCCTCTTTGGCTTTCTCTTCTCTGTCTCTCAGCTCTATCTCTTTTTCTTTCAGCTCCATAGCTCTCTTGTGGGCCTCCTCTTTAGCTTTTTCTTCTTTGGTAGTCATTTTCCTGGTTTTCTTGTGCTGGGTCACACCCCTCTGCAGTTGACTGAAATTGGCATGTACTTAGCTCTGGCTGCTGCTGAGTTAACAGAGACTTTCTAACAAGCTACTCCCGAGGATGTAAAAAGAAAAAAAAAAACAATTCAACTTGTAAATTATCTTTACCAGTCAGTCAAAGTTTGCTCCCTTTGAACCCTTCTCTTAACAAAGGACCTCGTTAAAAAAAACTTAACACCTCTGCCTTCAGGCAAGGAGAGATAAGATATGCATCTACCTTCAGCTCTGCTTTCCAAGCAGCTAGAAGGAAAAAAAAATCTCTTACTAGCTTTTGGGTCTAAAATGATCTCCACCGCTATGCCACCATGTCAAGGCTGGTTCCCCACTTTGAACCTTAGGGTACAAATGTAGGGGCCTGCATAAAAACTTCTAAGCTTATCTACCAGCTTAGCTTTGGTCCGCTGCCACCATCACAAGAATTCCCTCCCTGGGAAGCCTTGAGAAACCTTTCACCAATTCCCTGGTGAACACAGATCCAAACCCCCTTGGATCTTAAAACAAGGAGAAGTTAACCATCCCCCCTCCTTCCTTCCACCCTCCTTTCACCAACTCCTGGTGAATACAGATCCAAACCCCCTTGGATCTTAAAACAAGGAGAAATCAATCTGGTTCTTAAAAAAGAAGGCTTTTAATTAAAGAAAAAGGTAAAAATCATCTCTGTAAAATCAGTATGGAGAATACTTTACAGGGTAATCAAACTTAAAGAGCTCAGAGGACCCCCCTCTGTCTTAGGTTCAAAGTACAGCAAACAAAGATACACACTCTGGTAAAAAGGTACATTTACAAGTTGAGAAAACAAAGTAAATCTAAGACGCCTTGCTGTCTTTTTACTTACTAGTTTGAAATAGGAGAGACTTGTTTAGAAAGATGGGGAGAACCTGGATTGATGTCTGGTCCCTCTCAGTCCCAAGAGCGAACCACCCCTTAAAACAAAGAGCACACACAAAAGCCTTTCCCCCCCCCAAGATTTGAAAGTATCTTGTCTCCTTATTGGTCCTTGGGTCAGGTGTCAGCCAGGTTACCCGAGCTTCTTAACCCTTTACAGGTAAAAGGATTTGGAGTCTCTGTACACAGAGAGCTGTTACCCTTCCCTTCATAGTTATGACAGGGGCCCAGGATTTCACCCTCAATATTCACATTCACAAAGTACAGATAATACTTCTGAATGACTATACTGTAAGTATATTTTACTCATGTAGAATTTGCGAGAAAAATCTAGCAGTTTAAGGTTTTATCAGCTATAGTTGTCCATGATGCAACCAAGTATATACTACAAGTACTATGCAAGTCTTTATGTACTTACTGTACTTTAAAACAGTATTATGCTTAGTAGTGAACTACTTACTGAATATATGGGGCAATATCTGCTTCTGTCCACTTTTCCCGAATGGTAAATAGCCTGTTGAACCTTTCCTGGTTATCCTCAGGCAACTCTTCTACTTTTAGCAAGAAGATAGTCTCTGGTCTTGAGTATCTATCCAACAGAGCCAAACCCTATAGGGACAACAATAGGATGACACAAATTTTAACACAGAAAACATGATCAAACCTCCCATCTCTTGGCATATCAATTTGTGTTACTATTGCCATTTATCTCAGTACTTTTAACCCCTAAACTGTACAAGGAGTAGCAATACTAAAAGCAAAATGGAAGCCTTCACAATGGGGCCATCATGAAGGAGGTAGTTCTCACATCCCTTAAGGGAGAGGAGCGTGTAAAAATACACGACTTGATATCCCACTACCACCTTCAACAAAATTTATATTGGTTGCAGCATGCTAGAATCATTAAAGGCTGTTCTACAGTATGTTGGACTTCTAGTTCTGTCTATATTGATAGTAATAGACTCTAGATTTGAAATTTTTCCTCTATAGCTATGTGTATCAGGTTCAGGGAGACAGCTAGAAGAGCACTCTCATGCTCCTACACAGCAGAGGTCCTAGGCAGTTTCACTTTACAGGAAACACCTCATAAGTGTTTTAATACAGCACCAAGATGCTTCTCTCAGCTGCTGGCAAATACTGTTGAAATAAAAAATAAGCCGGTTGTTCATGATTCATATACAAGTCCTACACGATGCAGCAGTAAGAACATCCTGCTAATACATGAAACCAAATCCACTAGTTTAGTTTTTACCTTGAGCTGATCCAGCCTTGTCGTCAGCCCTTCAGGGACACTTTGTTGCCATACTTCTTGAAACTCAGCTAGATTGAATTTAACTGCATTTTGCAAGAGCATTTGTGCTGTAGCTGTGCATATTTTATCTGCATTCATTTCAAAATAAACTTCATCTGCAAAGGGAAAAAAAAATTACACTTACAGGTTCTTACCTGCATTGGTATCAGGACATTTCTGTGCCTCAAGTTTCCCCTCTGTTCTGCAGTCTCCCCCTCCTGGCAGGGTAATTTGTGCCTAAGTTTCCCCTCTGGCTGATTGAGAAATTTGATGATGTTTTACCCTCTGGCTAAACTAAAGTCCCCTCCCTTCCCAGGTAAACAAGAGTCAGAACAGAAACAAGTACACCCTTAGTCCTCTCCTGGCCCCAGTTTTTAGCCCTGTTGATCAGGACTAACATCAATAGACCTGCACCCTCCTCAGGTGAAACAGTCCTTTTACCCTCCACCCCCATCTCTTTCACTCTTGTTTATGCAAGTCTGATATCAAACAGCTGTTTGCACTCTCTGAGCTAAACAGTTCAGTTGTCCTTTCACTTCCCCAAGGTCTGTATCACCTGATCTTCTCCCTTGATACAGGGTAGTGAAGAGGGTGAGGTGCACTTTCTCCCATCTCTGAAAGTGCTAGTCCAAAGCCCATAAAAAAAAGAATACGTGCAAACCCTGGGTCTCAAGCTTACCTGCTTCACCTTCTCCCGTCCCAAGCTCCTCCTGCATTCAGGTCCTCTCACAGACTTCCAAGCCACTTCCTTGGGCTCAAACCAACCAACCCCTTCCATGCTCCTTGTCTAGAGATATCCCAACAGTCACTGCTGCTATAGCGCCATTCCCAACGCCCTTAGTGGAGAGCTCCACACCAGGTCTTGCTACTTCCTTGGTCTCAGCTTACGCAAGTAGAGTGCCTTCTATAGCTCTGCCTTTCCCAACACTCATTCCAACCCCACATTATGGTCTGAAATCAGAAACACTCATGTTGGGCCTGTAGCCCTTTAAGAGCCACTGTGCCCTACTGCACAAGTTAATTCAAATGCCTGGATAACAAAATTCTTTAGAAAAAAAAGTTCTTTAATGCTGTGCAACACATTTAAACTCAATCACAGAAATTATGAATTGGAAAGATCTACTAGCTTATCTCAGGCACCTCTCTGCTAATTCATGATTTTTTTCTAATGACACTAGTTTCCCTATCCCACAGTTTAGTAGACCTCACTGTTACGGAAATTTTCCATGATAATCAGCCTAAACATTTCTTAGCTCAGTGTTGGCCTCCCTACTCTCTTACACTTTGTTATTTTAGTTACATAATTTATTAATTATTAACCCTCCTTTCTTAATAAATGCATCTGTGCCATAACTTACCTTCATCAGTATATTTCATTCCATAACTCAAAAGAATATGTTGTATCATTTCTCTGAAAGAAAAAGTTAAACTTTAAAATCTACTTTTATGCATTTCAGATTTATGGCAAAGGAATGCAGTTTGAAAAAAATGTATTCTATAAAGTTAATTAGCGTACAATCATTAAAAAAACACTACAAATACCTTCCTCCCTCCCACTAACACACTGAAACAGGGACGGGCAAGGCAAGGCAAAAGCAGGAAAGACAATAGGGGATGGGATGTGCCGTGGTTCAGTCCACTACCCCTGCAACTTCACCTTCCCCTGCCTCCCTAGTACCCACTCCCCATGTGCTTTGAAGAGGTGCAGTGGGAAGGAAGATAGACTCTTGCCTTCCCTCATTTTTCACTGGCAAAAAGTATCACAAACAGAGTTTCACAAAGCACTGCAGTTATGTATAACATATTAATAAAAGGTACTTTATGGACTGGTTGCATCAAATTATAGCCTAACTTGTACTACTTTGCAGATTTGGGATAAAAGCAAAATGTCAGTATGGGTTTTTTCCCCCTAAATGAAGTTCAACAAAAATTTATAAAGCCTCAGTCGGTAAGCACAATTCAATAGCCTTGTAATTTGAATGGAATGGCCTGTAAATATTGTAATACTATTCTATTAATATGATCACTGATATTTATTCAAATATAGCATTATACTACCAGAAGTACCAGTGCTTAATACAAAATGGTAATGCAGGAGGTACCCACCACACATTTTTGGTTTGCCATGCTTCCTGAATGGTATTCCACCATGGGCAGCCGTTTGCCAATTAAGTAATGGGTACAAGCAGCATGTACAATAGAGCGAACAGCATTTTAGCTGTTGTGTCAGTGTATATTTTAACAGTAGTCACTGGAATCAGTGGATACTTATGCCTGCCATGAGACTGGAGTAGGATCTTTTGTAATCCTGACCCATGGTATGTGACAGTGATCAGGGAACAAAGATTAGTCTAACCAAACCTCATGTGTCACACCTTTACTGCATAAAATTACTCAGGGCCATGCTATGCTCCCCTTGAGCACATAAATGGTGGGAGAGGAAAAAAAGGGTACAAGAAGCCCTCATTGTGCCCCATGCACAGCAAGGGACACAAGTGCAGCCCACATACTCCCTTTATAAAAGGACTCCTCCTCTATGGGACAAAAGATTCCTGCAAAACATGAGGAGACAGGCCATAGTCCTGTCCCACCTACATACCAGGCAACAAAGCTGGCATTTAGAGTGGGCACGGGGGTAAGTGCATCCCTTCCGTCCCAAGTAGGTTGTAGCAATGTGTTCCAAACTATGAGCCAGTGCAGCTCCACACTGACCTCAGAGCAGGGCTGTACCTTGAAGGTGAAATGGATTTATGTTTTACAGAGTCAAAGAACTTCTAATCTTCAGCACTGTTAGTTGAATATAGTTATATTATAGGACTCCTCTATGGTAAGTGCAAATACTAATGATGATGAATATGGGTAACAGTAAATTGTTTTCTAGTGCTTTAAGCACAAAGAAACAAAAAGATACTTACTCGGGTTCCAGGGGTCCAAGTTCTTGAAGACAGATACTTAAAGGAACCTTGCTAAAAGACCAAGATTCAGAATCTATTAGTTGAGTCACATGATTCAGAAGTTTCATCTCATAATCAAATTCTAGAACCCGCCAATATCCTGCCAAACAGAAGAAATATGTAATAATACTTTGTAATTCTGCTTCTCTGAAAATATCTTTCAGGATTCTCACACTTGAGTCTCAGCTCCCTTTCAAGGCACAAACAGAACACCAAGCTCTTAAAAGGTTATTTAAACAACATTTAACAAGAGGAGAAAAAGGAACAGAATAGTAGAATGGAGCAGAGACCAGTGTGATTAAATTTTTCAAGGAGATCAAAATACTTAGTTACTTTTCTATGTAAATCAACTACTACACAGTTGTTACAGGGATGTTATACCATTGAACAGGGATGTAGTTAATAAGAATTTTTAATGTTCTGTGATCCAAAATATTAAAGCATTTGAGAACTACTAACAATAGTGGCAGGTATTCTCAACCCACTATGCATGCCTATCTGCATGCCTTTCATGTTGTGACTGTTTGGAGTCAAATAAAGCAATTAACTCCTTTGACTCCCACATAAAACATTGGAAGATACTATAGACATTTCAGGAGAAAGCTATACAAAGCACTGCAGAGACCACCACTTTCATGCATTCCTCACTAAATTGACCCCATGTGTTATGCTACAAAATAATGCATATCCTACCTATAGGGACAAATACCTTCAATTTTACAGGCATTTATAACCTGCAACTGATGCAGTATTTCCTCCTCACTCGCTTGAATCCGATCTAGCAAGTCTTCCATTGTATACTGCAACATGCAAGAAGAAAAAAAGGGTTACCTTCAACCCTTGCTAAAGCTAAATTGAAGTAAGTAAATATTACCTTATATAACTATGATGAAGATAAACATTATTTAGAGTAGGGATGGAAGAACACAGTGGAGGCTTGGGTTTTGCAGAGCTTTGAAGTCTCTTAAATTTACCACACTAGTTCAAATTTGCAAACAATCTTTTCCTGCAATTTAAACTAGTTTCTCCAAAGATCATTCAATTTTTAAAAAAAATAACATTCTTTCTAATTAAAGGAAGCCTTTGCACCATGTACCAGTGATATAAGACTACCTCCAGAAGTCAGACTAGCTCAAGTGGGCATCCTATGTAAGGTACCCATTTGCTTTTCATTCCCCCTCTGTGGAGGACAGTCACTTTGAAATTTACAATATTCAAGCAGGTTTAAATTAGGCAAAACAAATTCTGAAATGTGAATGAGTTATCTCAATTATTGTTGTCAGCAAAATAAGTTGCTTCACATCAGTCCAAATAATTGACAAAGATGTTCTACTTGATTCCCCAAAATGCACCTCACCAGGTTTGTCTTTGTTATGCCTTTACATTTTTTTAAAAGGCACATCTAATATTTAAGCTAATACTTAAGTTTTTGTTTTAAAAAAAAAATTCCTGGCAGGAATGAATTGATTCATTTTAAGTATAGTAATCTGGCAGATTATGAGAAGGCAAAATAGCAAACCACCACTAACTTTGGTGGACACCATCTTTATTTTGGGATAAAAAAATGTTTTCTCTTTTCCTCCATATTTCTCTTCTATCCTGGTGATTGCTTTTTTCTCTTCCGTGCTTCCTTCCTTTTCTATTAGGATGCATGCTGTAGTACCATGAGATCTCACAAACTCAGCAGTGTTGGGACTATGTCAATACTTCAACAGGTGACCTCCAAGCTACACCCAAGACACTTCAGGAAATGTTATTGGCAATTTAGCAGATGAAACAAAACTCTCAGAGTTAGAATAGAATAAATGTCCTATAAAATGGTGTTTGAGAGCAATGCACTGCTGGATATGCTGTCTTTCAGATGAGATGCAACCGAAATCCAGACCACTAATGCTCGTTAAGAAGTCTGGGATTTCTATGTAAAAGTAGATATATTAGCTCAAGTGTTTTAAGCAAGTTATATCTTAGGTCATTTATTCTGTCTAAATTTTACTGTAATTTCACTGGCAACAGTATTCTTCACTTTTTGCCTCACACTTGTTTAGTGCTGCTGTACTTGGATACTAAACATCCGCTGTTTTACTTCAGCAGTGAAATATTTAAATGTTGAGTGAATATATGTAACAAACACTTTAGCAGTATGCTGTGTTATGAAAACATGAGTTTCCTATAATCTACTGAATTGCTCATTTTCATGCAGAGGGGGAAAAAACAAACAAACAATCACTTGTTAGTTGCCCATGCCAAGAGAAATGCAACGAGTAAACAAGGAGCATAGCAAAAATTCATATCATCACTTCTATTGTGGTGGCATCTACGGGCTCCAGTCAGAATCAGCGCCCATAGCAAGGTGTAGCCTCTCCTCCCAGGGAACTTACAATCTAATTTAAAATTCCACAGTGTTATCTGTAACAGTTAAGAATCTTATGTTTAAAAAAAAAAAAAAAATCATTTTTATTCCTTTAATATTCTATCTTCCGACCAAAATTCAGAAGATAATTAGACAAAACAGACATGTTAAAAGTATTTTATTTTAAATGCAAAGAAGTCTTAGATGTTACCTTTGAGCATTAGTATTTGAAAGGATATTTGCATTATCATGCAAATGTAAGTTAGCTGACTAGTTTTAAAGCTAATAGATCATATGTAAATGTTCAGAAACTGTATTTTACTCCATTTTTACTTAATATTTCCTCAAGACCTGCCTTATATTTTAGGTCAGATTATTCATACCTCTCATTCTTGATGTCTGAACTGGCTTTTATGAAGGCAGAACTTGCATGTTAATAACAAAATAAAACCCATCACTGGCAGGACAGATCTGTAATTACATTTGCCTTGGGAGTAATCTCAACCATTTCTCCCTCCACTTCCACCATATCACCCTTGCTATTCTACTTCTCTTCCTTCCCATATCATTTTACTTCCCTTTCCTTAGTGGTGAGTGCCTTTTACATAGGGTAAGTGATGAAGTCACAAGAAGCACAAGTAACTGGGGAAAGCCACTACACCTGATAGTCACATAACATTTGTGGGATTTAGATAGCCAGTTCCTTAAGACTTCAAAATGGACGTTGCCAGTCACCCTGCCCCCCAACTTCTGGCTTCATTTTGCTGGCTTAGTGCAGAAGTCTTTCCCCTGCAGGAGGGGGACAGTAATTCTTCTCACCACCCTCTAGTCAAATGGTTTTCAAACTTTTTTAGTTGAAGAAAATTGTTGATGCCCATGACCCAGTGGAGCTGGGAATGAAGGGTTCAGGGTGTGGGAGGGGGCTCTGGGCTGGGCTGTGGGAGGGGGTCAGGACTCTGGGCTGGGGGTGCAGGCTCTGGGGTGGGGCCAGGGATGAGGGCTTTGCAGGAGGGGGCTCTGGGTTTGGGGGGGGCCTCAGGGCTGGGGTAGGGGATTGAGGTGCGCAGGTGGGGCACGGGCTTACCTGTGGCAGCTCCCGGTCAGCAGCGCAGCAGGGGAGCTAAGGCAGGCTTCCTGCCTATCCTGGCACTGTGGACCGCGCTGCGCCCCGGAAGTGGCCAGCAGCAGGTCCGGCTCCTAGGCAGAAACGCGTAAGCTGCTCCACGAGGCTCTCGCCCGCAGGCACACCCCTCCCCCCCAGCTCTCATTGGCCGGGAAACGGAGTGCAGAGCTGGTGCTCGGGCGGGTGCAGCGTGCGGAGCCCCGTGGCCCCCCTGCCTAGGAGCTGGACCTGCTACTGGCCGCTTCCGGGGCGCAGCGCAGTGTCAGAACAGGTAGGAACTAGCCTGCCTTAGCTGGGCAGCACCACCAACAGGACTTTTAACGGCCTAGTCAGCGGTGCTGACCAGAGCCGCCGCGTCCCAGTGCCTTACATTCCGCAACCCAGTACTGGGTCGCGACCCGCAGTTTGAAAACCACGCTCTAGTCTACACAAAAACGGAAGACTCCGTCTCTTCTCACTACCTTTCTTTTTCTTCTGTGTACCATCAGGCAAACAGCCTACTGACTGCAGCCAGTAACACTGCTAGCAATTCCCGACTAGGCTAGCATGCCAGGCTGTCTCAAGCAGGGAGAAAAAGCAGCTCAGAGCAGGACTGTGTACAAGTGCACAGTTCTGCATAATTAAGTAAAACTGGGAGCAAAGGTATTTTTTCTAGTTAAGAATGTAGCTTTACTAGGCTTTTAGATCATTACCAATTACAAAGGAAAAGTAAAAACAAGGAAGTGATTTACTTAACAGGCTTACCTTTGAGTCAGACAGAGCTTTCTCTCTCTCACTGTCTGGCCCTTCATAAGGATTTTCCATTAGAAGTTTCTTTAGTTTCTTTAGTTTAGGTCGACATTTCCTTAATTCCCAGTAATTATTGGAGAAACCAGCAATCTACAAAAAGAAATTAAATGTTCGGTGACTCATTTAATTTAACACTGTCAGCCAAAGTAACTTGCAAAGAATAATTAGCAATGAATTTTACAGAGGTCACGTAAAAAAAAATAAAATCAAGATTTTTATTAAGAGATTGTTTCTCTTTTCTAAAAGAAGAGTAGGCAGAAATATTCTCCGCACTGAAGTCCATTATTGGTAATAAGAGTTAGAAGTCTGTAGTTCAGTAATAAAAGCATACCTGCTGTCTACATGACAAAGAAACCAGCTGGTCTCTACATATGGCCAATACCTGCTAATGGCCGGATAATTTAAAGTCCTGTCAATTTCACCCCTTCCAACATCTGTTCTTTTCTTCTTAATACCTCAGTCTTGCTGCTCTCCACAAGCCACCTTTTTATTCTCTTTCTCTCATCTTTCCAATTATTTCCCATATTCTTGAACTCCTAGTTAATGGATATTTTACTACACAATGAATGAGGAAGGGAGCTATAACTCATCACTTCATTAAACATGCATCTTGGGAAAGAAGATGTTCGCTACACAGCTATGTAAGCCAGGTACATGCACTAAGTGTGCCCAGAGGTCATTGTTAAAAATACTGCACACTTCTTTTCCCCAGGCCCTGAAAAAGAGGTTTACCAGTGACACCATGGCAGGGTTTGGAGCCAAGATATCTATACAGAGACAGGACATGACAGAAGCTGAGTGGGGCAACCAACAGAAGAACTGCCTTCATTCCCTAATCTACCACATAGGGAGAACCGAAAGCAGAGGTGTAACTGATACAAGGCCTCCAATCTTCTAAACTCACTAGGATCTTCAGAGGAATCTCAGGGTGCGTTGGTACATCTCTGAAGCATACCTTGGGCATCCCCCAAAAGTCCTACTGAGGAGTTCAGATGATAGGAGGCCTTAGTCAATGCTCTGCTGTGAAGAGGCCATCAGACAGGTGTGAGCACAAAATGGGGAAGGCACAGCAGGCTGCAAGCTCATTTAGTGCTACTGCTCTCAGATCCAGCCCTTACCCCTATATGAAAAATCCTGTTAACAGCTGGAGTAACAGAAAAGCTCAATTTTTTTTTAAAATGTATTTTAAAAAGTCAGGATTTTAAAGATGTTCTATCAAATTTGATTTTTAAGTAAATTTTTTTTTTAAATTGTCCTTTTAACTATTGAAGCTAGATTGTCAATTAAAAAACCCAAAACACTACTACTCAAGAAAGCAGCCTAGATACAAAATGCAGTATCCAAATTCTGTTTGGAAATCTTAGACTTTTTTTTTGTTTATAGTTTTTGCCTATTAGTTTATTTAAATAAATATTAGTTTATGACCTCAGTTCTCCAGCTCTTTTCACATGCAATGGCAATTACACAAGCAGAATAACTACAACATTTGGGTCTTTTTTCTGTGCTTATTTTTCATTTCTTTTCAAATCTCTCAGAGAAGAAGATATTCCTGGTCATTTAGCGGTAGAAAAATATGCTAACACATGTGAGTTCATAGCCAGAGCTAGTTGCTCACCCTGGACAAACATAGCAGAATGCTCAGACCCTTTGAAAGGGAGTGCTTGCTCCTGAGTGATCATCTCTTTGGACTGATGCATGAGCCTATCCATACTGCTTCCAGAAGAAAGGTAATTTATCTTCTTATTTGTATTATGGTAGCACTTACCGGCCCCAACCCCATTGTGGTTAGCACTATGCACACATAACAAAAAGAAAGTACCTCCCACAAAGAGTTTGCAATCTAAGCAATATAACTATACACTACAACATGTTTGGGAGAGTCTTAGGAAAGATCCCAACCAAAAAAACCCAAAAGTGATTTGACAGAAAGTTATCTTGGTGCATGTGACTTAAATAATTACAGAACATAGCAAGACTGAAGGAGGAGGAATATTACTTTCTTGTTAATCTACTTTGTTTTGAATGGACTTTTTCCTACCAGCAGAACTGCGGACTTTATGGAATAAATGATGTTCTGATTGTTCTGGGACTGGAGAAGGAGGGTGACTCCTCCTTAGTGATGTCATTATACCCACTGCACAAAATTAAGAGCAAATGATAATATTTTCCTAACCATTTTTAGGAAAATTTGATTTATTACATTTGCTTCAAAGGGGCAGAAACAATGAATTCTTTAAACTCATAATTCTAAAATCCTCCACCCCACAGAATCTTTTCATATGCAACAGTTAGGATAGAAGAGTCATCTTTCAAGATTTTTTTCTTAGACTATGGAACTAAGAAAGTGCAGCACAATCTGCCTTTCAGGGTAGGCTATTTAAACAGGCACTCTACTAATGTAAAAGTGTCAATTTGCTCTTTGTGTCTTATATTTAAGACAGCTCACTTGAGTGAAGGAGAAAATATCTATTCTTTCAAGTTACTAAGCACCATGAGTACTTACTGCACCACCAAAAATAGACTTTATGCTTGGATCTTTTAAACAGATGATAACTGAATTGTAAGACACTATAATAACATGCACCTTAGATGTAACACTAATGTGAAAAACAGATGATAAGGAAACAAAAGACTATACCTGGGCGTGAATGATATTACATGATGCTTGATCTGCAAGCAGCTGTTCTGGAGTTTTACAGCCAGGGATAAACAGCAACATATTTGAAGTATCTGCTATTTTCATATCATAAGTTTTATCTTTACTGCACAGCACAGCTTGTTCATCTTTTTCACCACGGATCACTAGGCTGGAAAAAAAAAAGTTGTTTTTAAATGCAAAAGTAGCAAAGGAATACTCATCTTTATTTACAGATGACATAACATTTCAAATATATTAAAAGTATTGCTAACCAGGTGGCAAGTTGCAGTTATTATGACTACTGCTACCAATTGGAATATCAGATCTACAAGCTGTGACATACAGTTAGTTTAATCCTATTACTATTACTCCTTCCTCCTTCCCACACCTCTTGCTCATTTGTTCATTTCACCCACTTTCTTATCTTTTAAATCTTGATCCTACAAGTTCATATACATGACCAACGCCACACTGAAGTCCCAATCACTCCCAGCTTAATTCAGGCCACTGGGTAATGGCACAACTACTACTCCTCCAATAAAAACCCAGACCTATTAACAGTGTAACTTTGAATGTTGTTCAGAAAAAAATTCTGCTTACATATGATTTTTAACATTTTTAACTTTTGCCTTAGAACAGCCGTTCTCAGGGGGCCTTGATCAAGTTTCAGGGGGTCCTCCAAGCAAGATCAGCATTAGATTCACTGAGGCCCGGGGCAAAAAGCCAAAGCCCCTTCAGCCAAAGCCTGAGCCGCTTAGCTTCATGGGGCCCCTGGCAAGTGCCCTGTTTGCTACCCCCTAATGCTGGCTTTTATATACAGAAAAACAGGTGTGGTGGTACAGCTGGGCCGTGGAGTTTTTATAGCAAGTTGGGGGGGTTCTCAGAAAGAAAAAGGTCGAGAACCCCTGCCTTAGAGGACAACTGTAGTCAAACGAAGGGGTTTTCAAACTTTTTACCAACCACAACCCCCAAGCCACTCACACTTTCTCCCAGAGCTCCATGCTCCAGAGTCCTCTGTGACCCCTAAAACCAGAATACATCCCATTGTTTCAACCAAAAGAAACTACCCAGAACCACAAAAAACAAATGTGGTTCACACCTATGCGCTTCATGAATAGTCCTATTGAGCTCAAAAGAACTATTCACAGGCAGAAATGTTTAGAAGTTGTATAGCACAACTAAATAAAACGTGGCTCTCATGGGACACAGATATGTTCTAGGTATCCAAAAATTGATCATTTCACATTTTAACAAATATATAATTTTTTAAAAAATTAAAAATATAAATTTAAACTCCGCCCAGCCAAGATGTGCAGGGGGCGCAGGGAGGCTTTCGGTTCGGCAAATTGTACAGATCCATTTTAACTGTGATCTGCCCCTTCATCATCCCCCCCCGTTGACACGATCGAATGACAAGGTCCCGGCAACCTCCCCATCCCCATCGTTCCTGCCCGCCCGCCAGGGGGCGCTGCAAGCCCGGTCCCCCGTGAGTCCCGCAGTCCCAGGCCGGGCCACTTCCGCACCTGTGCCCCGCCTCCAGCGCGGCGCAAAGGCCCGGCTCCAGCTGCAGCAGGCAGCACTCTCCGGCGCTGGCGCGGGGGCTGAAGCTGAGGCAGTGCACGGGCGGCAGCAGCTCCGCCGGGTTCAGCTTCGCGATATGCAGCGTGGCCTCCACCTCCTCGCGGCTCCGCATCCTGCCCGGCGCCGGGCTCCCCGCTCAAAGGGACGGGCCAGCGGCGCGCGGCAAACGGTTCCAAAAGCGCGCGCGCCAAAACACAGACCCCTCCACGCGCCGCGCTTGGGCGGGGCCATGACGAGGGAGAGAGCCCTACGATGAGTCACGTGACCCCTAGTGCGCGAGAAGGGGGTTGGTGGCGTGCAGCAGGGGCAAGAATGAGCGCGAGCTCTCCCCTTAGCCTATGGTTGGGGGAAGGACAAACGCGCGTGCGCGACTTGGATTCCAGCGATTCTCTGGTTCACGCACTAATACCCCCTGCAGAGCAGGTGCGGGCGGTGGAGTTGCGGTGTGAGGAGTAAAGGGGAAAGAGCTTCCCCCATCCTGCTGCCTCCTCCCTAAGAGGAGGGCTGCCCTATGCTCATCTCCCTGGCTTTCCCCTTTAGCTGCAGGGAGGTTCCCTGCAGAAGCTGGGATTGGGCGACAGGATGGATCACTTGATGATTGCCAGTTCTGTTCATTCCCTCTCGGGCGGGCATTGGCCACTGTCAGAGACAGGATACTGGGCTAGCTGGACCTTTGGTCTGACCCAGTACGGCTGTTCTCATGTACGTGCAGATGGTTCTCGAGCTAGCTCTGTCCCTGAGCTCCTGTTTCCCTGTGAAGACATAATCTGTAACAGAGAAGGGCGCCAGAGAAATGCGGCCCCCAACCCATTGTGTTCCCTTTGGCCTCACTGCCTCCCATTGCACTTCATTGACACAGATGTTTTGGGGGGCCCTGAGCTTAGGGGAGTTGGTACAATCCCCCCCCCCGCCCCCTTGTTAGACTCCGGTACAAGGGGAGCAGCTGTTTGTTGACTGCCCTTTGATTCCTATTTGGAGTCACACGCCATGTGAGGGACTTAACCACAATTAACGGTAGCAAGGTGGAGAGAGATTTTCTGATCACCGTGGGCAGCGGTCATGGCTCTGATGGGCTGAATCCCTGAAAATCAGAATTACGAAGGAGGAAAAATAACCATGACACTGGTGAGGCCCTTCCAGCAACAAACAACAGAAGTTGTTTTGCTGTCGCCGTTAACACCAACATCTCCTTTGAAAGGCCGTGGTGAGCGAAATCTCAGGTTCTGTTTCCAGTTCACTTTCCCTTACGCCATGAGGAGGAGCTATTGACAAAGGCTAAGTGCAGGTCAGACGTAGGACAAATGTCTATAGCAGCCTTTGCCACTAGGTAACTTGCCAAGTGCAATGTCACATGAGACTTGATCAGCATAGAAAACAGAGCAAGGGTGAAAGCAGACAACTTCCGTGGTGACCCTTTAATCCTATGATTCTATGAAATGAAGACATTTGTTCCTCAAAGAGCTTGCATACTAGTAACAGAAGCAGTAGAGATGCCTCCACAAGGAACTGCTATTCAATGGGGCCAGATTAAGGAATCTGGAATCTTTTCCCCTAGTTCCCATGTTCCAGAGAGGCAAGAGGCCACTCTCCTTCTGGAAGCAGAGGCCCATCCTTCATCTTGGGATCAACAGGTGGCAGCCCCTCTCCCATTGAAACTGACAGGGCAGCAGCAGATGGATCTCCTTTACCATCCAGGAGTGACAACAGGGGTTTCCACTCCCCCTTGGAGAGGCTGTGGTGGCACAGGGGGGCTCAATACTTACCCCAGTAGCTGGAGTGTATCTCCACAGGTTCATGAGTTCACTGTGCATACTTCATTCTTCTGCCACACTTTACTGGGATGGTGTTAAAGGCCCCTAAAGCAGTAGGGTGGGAGTTAACACCCCGTAGAAGTAAATGGGGTAGTTTGGAGCCCTCAGTGCTACTGGTTTGGTTCTGTTCAGACTGAGGCTGAGATCCCTGCATTGGTTATATTTGTTTCATGTTTTCACATTTTTCTTCATATCATAACTCTGAGGGCTAGAAATGTAGGTCTTGTCTACACGGAAAGGTTGCACCAGTCTAAATCACTTTTTAAAATGGGATAGTTAAAGTGGCACAAACCTCTGTGTACACACTCATTTTAGATTGACTGGTTTGTTTTGGTTTAATTTAAACCCGTTCCCAACCAACTTAAGCTACATCAAATAAAGCCACTTTTATACCGAAATAAGTGTTCACACGGGGGTTGCCCAGTTTTACAATATTGGCTTAAATTCACACATTAGGTTATACTGGTGCAACCAGTGGTGGATTACTTCACAGGCCAACTGGGCCCATGCCCAGGAGCCCCGGCCAAATGGGGGCCCCCAGGAGCACCGGAGCTCTGACCACGCCCCCTGCTTGTCTACACTAAACAGTTCTGTTGACAAAAGTCAGCTTTCATCAACAAAACAGTGGAGGTATACACATTAAAATGCTCCTCCCACCGATGTAACTCCCCTGCTTTGTAGACATCATAAAAAAACCACCTTGACAAGCAGCACAGAGCTTTTTGTGACGTAGTTAGCGTGTAGACACCTTTAGTCTCTAAGGTGCTACAAGGACTCCTCACTATTTTTGCTGATACAGACTAACATGGCTACCACTCTGAAACCTGTCATTTGGTTATGTCACCTTAATTGGCCTCCAGGAGGTATCCCACAATGCCCATCCTGACCACTCTGGTCAGCAGTTTGAACTCTGCTGCCCTGAAGGTACACAGGTATGCACCCCTCCCCCATTAAAAGGCTGCGAATTTTTGAAATTCCTCTTCCTGTTTGCTCGGCATGCACAGTTCACACAGCATCTTCCCAGCTGACCATGCCGGCTTTACACAGCAGACTATCTCCTGCATGGAGCACACCAGAGCAGTTGGACCTACTGAGTATTTGGGGAGAGGAGGCTGTGCAGTCGCAGCTTCGCACCAGCCGTAGGAATTTTGATACCTATGGGCTGGTTGCTAGTGGCATGCAGGAGAAGGGGCACAAAAGGGACACGCAGCAGTGTCGTGCTAAAATCAAGGAGCTGAAGCAGGCATATCAGAAGGCAAGGGAGGCCAATCGCCATTCTGATGTGACGCCAAAGACATGCCATTTCTATAAGGAGCTGCATGCCATCCTGGGCAGCAACCTCACCTCCACTGCCAAGAGCCCTATGGAAACTTCGAGGGGGACTGGAGCCAGCAGCGAGCGGACTCAACCCAGATAAGGAAGTGACGGAAGAGGAGGTTGAATTGGAGGATGATGTGGAGCACACAGCAGGGTCGTCTGGAGGTACGGCAAGTCAAGATCTCTTTTCCACTCCAGAGGGGTCTAACCAGCCCCAGCACTCCAGCTCCGGCGCACAGGATGCAGGAGATGGGCGCTCTGGTAAGTTTTTTTTGCTTTGACCCTGAATGGTGAGAGGAGGTTGAGCTCTCATGTACTTTGTTATATGGTAGAGGAGGGATAAGGGACAGAAATAAACAACAGTGCCTGTCCATCTACGCAGTGGGACCATGGCGGAAATTTGTTAATATACACAGAGATGTCACAGGAATCCTCCATAGAGGTCTCTAGGAAACTTTCCTGTAGGTATTCTGCAATCCTCTGCTGAAGGTTCTTTGGGAGACCTGCCTTTTCTCCCCCCACTGTAGGAAAGTTTGCGGCGGCACCCGGCAATTATTTCTGCAGGAACCAGAGCAGCACACAGGTGAGCGGCATACCCTTACATCCTGGGTTACCCTTAGGAGTGAGATATGGGGTTCGATTACCCTAGCCCAGGGATCAGCAACCTTTGGCACGTGGCCTGCCAGGGTAAGCCTCCTGGCGGGCCGGTTTGTTTACCTGCCGCATCCGCAGGTTCGGCCGATCGCAGCTCCCACTGGCCTTGGTTTGCTGCTCCAGGCCAATGGGGGCTGCGGGAAGTGCCACAGGCCGCGGAATGCGCTGACCGCCGCTTCCTGCAGCCCCCATCATAGCCCCCTGACTTAAGGGACATTGGTTAGATTTAAAATTTTAATTTATATTCTTACTTTGTTACTAACTCTTGAATACAACAATTGAAACAATTGTAGAAAAATAATTAGATTTTTCTATCACTTCTTGCAGTTCACCAAGCTTGGAATAGATCATTTAACTTTGGAAAGATGCTACAAGGGCAAGGCCCTGTGAGTTTGTACTGTGCCTGCCTGGGGCTCTAAGTGTTACCGCACTACAAATAATAGGCTAGAAACTGATCTTAAACAGGAGTGAAACTGACACTTTCAAGTAACTTTCACGATATTGCCAATCCCAAATTCTCAAAAATCATGAGATTATGTAAAAATAATAGATTTGGTGTTCTTATTTGCCTTGTGCTTTTTGAGCCTTTAGGGTGCACTGGGGTCACATTTTGATGCTTTTTCCACAGCCACGAGAGCTAGAAACTTCATTTTTCTTTAAAAATGAAGGCTGAAATCAGTACATATCCACTTGACTCCAGGAGCTGGGATGTTAAGGAAAACAATCCTTATCATGAGACTCATGACAAAATCATTAGAGTTGGCAACACTAGACTTTAAATCAGAGGTGGGCAAAGTACGGCCCGCAGGCCACATCCGGCCCGTGGGACCGTCCTGCCCGGTCCCCGAGCTCCTGGGCCGGGTGGCTAGGCCCCGGCCCCTCTCCTGCTGTCCCTCCTCCCCCGCAGCCTCAGCTCGCTCACTCCGCCGCTGGCGCAATGCTCTGGGCGGCGGGGCTGTGAGCTTCTGGGGCAGCGTGACCGGCCTGACCTGGTCTCTGTGCTGTGTGGTGGCGGTGGTGGTGGCGGCGGCAGCGTGGCCTGGCTGTACTGCGGCCAGCCACCGATGCTCCAGGCAGAGCGGTAAGGGGGCAGGGAACAGGGTGGGTTGGATAGAGGGCAGGGGAGTTCGGGGTGGTGGTCAGGGGGCGGGGGTGTGGATAGGGGTTGGGGTGGTCTGGGGTGGAACAGGGGGTTGAATGGGGGCAGGGGTCCCGGGGGGGGGGCAGTCAGGAAGGAGGGGGGGGTTTGGATGGGGCAGCGGAGGTCCGGGGGCAGTCGGGACAGGGAGCGGGGTGTGTGGATGGGGCAGGAGTCCCGGGGATAATAACTGTATGACCTCTTGTAGGACACCACCTTTCCCCCCACCCCACCCCAATGGCAGCTGCTACTGCTACAACTCTTCCCCCCCTCCACTTCCAAGTCATTGAACTTTTAGAA